TTATTATTGTGTTTGTAATCGATGTGGGATTGTCTCAAACCTTTATAACTACTTTTTGCATTCTTTTTTGCTTTCAAAATCAATGTGGGACTAAATGATCCATGCTTTAACACACTTTCACTATGTATGTCATAATAATTTCTAACTTCTAACATAATAGTAATAAATTCTAATTTATAACATAATCAATTCTAATCTATAATACAATAATTTCTAACCTCTAACAAAATAATAATAAATTCTATTTGCATTTCTAACTATTTGTACATATAATTTAATTTGTATTTTTTTTAATTTTCGTGGTTTTTAATTTTTTTTTATTAAAAAATGTTGAAATATAAAAAATATATTTAAATAATTTCATATATATTATTATATATTTTATAATAAATGAAAAAAATTAATAATTAAGTTTGATTAATAATTAAAATATATTAATAATTTAAATTAATATATATTAAATTATATATATTAATATTTTCATATATATTATTATACATTCATATATATGAATATGTATAATTTATTATATTCTATAATATATATTATATTAATATAATTATTATCAATTATGATAGTATAAAATATAATTAATTATAATGAAAAAAAGTATATTAGTATAAATTATATTAGTATATAAAAAATTATATTATTAATTAGTTTAATTATTATAAATTATAATAGTATAAGATATAATTAATAATAAAATTCTATAACATAATGAATATAATTTATAATATAATAATTTCTAAATTCTAACTATAAGATAATAAATTCTAATTTATAACATAATATCTAAATTCTAATATAATTTATATAATAAATAAATATTTGATTATAAAAAAATATAATTTATATATGTTTTAATAATTTAAAAATTATATAATTTATTATTATATATTAAATATGTTACTTACTTAAGTATATATGTTAGTTATAATTATAACTAATATAATATATTAGTTATAATTAATATATTATATATATAATATATTATAAAATATATACTTTTTTAATATAAAAATGTAATTAATATATTAAATAATAAAATAATATTTTTTGATTATATAATCATACAAACTAATTAATTAATAAATTTTACATTTTTTTCAACTTATATTACAATACTAATTATAATTTCACTAATATATATATATATATATATTAATTACAAATAACACATTTATTAATAAATAACATATTTAATAATAATAATAATAATAAATTATACATTTTTCTAAATATTTAACACATATATAAATTATATCATTTATAAAAAAAATGAAAGTAGGATGATAAGTGCATTTTCATTTATTTTGTAAAAACCATAATGTTTTTCCATATTTCATGTTCATTTAGTTAAATTTAATCATTTATCAATTTAAGATAATAATAAGTTTAATTAATGATAATGTGATATTCATCTTGACATACATAGTGAAAGTGTGTTAAAGTAGGGATCATTTAGTCCCACATTGATTTTGAAAGCAAAAAAGAATGTAAAAAGTAACTATAAAAGGCTAGAGGCATGGGACAATCCCACATCGATTACAAACACAATAATAAAGGCCAAAAGTGGCTATAAAAGGTTGGGAGATTGAAACATTTGATTTACAATTATCCCACATTGGATGAGAAAGTCCAATGAAAGGCAAAGAATGACTATAAATATTGTAGCAACTTGCCTTAACAATTATTAATTGGTTTCTTTGATATTTGATAATATTAAAAAATTATATAGTTTTTAAAATATTTAAATTATAAAAAAAAAAAAAGTGGGCCGGCTGCAATTAAGGGCCGGCGGGCCGAGAGGCGGCCGCAATTACGGTGTGGCCGCGCAAGTTGCGGCCGCAATGCGGCCGAGCCAGTGGTGGCCGCAATTAGCGGCCGGCCGCGCGAGTTGCTGCCGCAATTAGCGGCCGGCCAGCAGAAAAAAAAAAAAAAATTAAAAATTGAAAAGGACAAAATTGTCTTTTTTGGGTGCGGTATTTAGTAAAAAGGGGTGCGGTATTTATTAACACTCTTCAGGATTTGTGTGGGTCTTTGAAAATCCATAGCCAACCTAATTAATATTCTGCCCTGCCCTTTTAAGTGTCACTGGGCAGTGACAGACAGCGTCTTGTCGCGCGTGCTGCCACATGCTACCAGACATAATTCTTACCTGAAAAACGCGTTTTTAATTACTACCTCTTATTTTTTCTGAATGTCATTTTGGCTTTATCAATTATTAACCAAAATAAATGTCGTTTTGGATCTTTTGTACATATTTTTCCATTATTACCCTCATTTAGTTAATAAATACACTACGTTTTTCATATTCTCTTCATCTTTTTTTTTTTAAAAACATTCATCTCTATCTTCATTAATGAGGGTTATTATTGACAAAAAAAATTATTCTTAATTAGTTTGCAACTTCTCAAAACGACACTTATTATGAATAGGAGGGAGTATTACTTTCTTTTATTATGATTATTATTTTGAAAATTGCTTCTTTTTTGGGGGGTGGGGGTTGGTTCAACTTTATTTTCTACGTTATTTATTTGTTAATCTCTATAATATTTTTGGACATAAAAATAATTCAATAACAGATTGTTAAAAGTTACTATCTATTTATAAAAAGGAAAATTATTTAATAGATAATATATTAAAAGTAACTATTTATTGATAGGTGTCTTTTTTATAAAATAGATAATCCTTAACTTTTTTTAAAAAATAGAATTATATAAAAAAAAACCCAAATCTTTTTCAGGTGGGTTTATAAGATAGGAAAGAAAAGTCAAAGTCAGAAGTTATGACTCTTGCTTCAAATTTAATGTTTAAGTTTATGCCATATCCAACCCTTATCTCTACTCTAGTGTAGAGTTTACTTTACTCTAGAGTAGAATGAAACAAAAATCAAGTTTCGTCTCCAACCGTTCGCGCTCTATTTTACACTACATTCCATATATTATTTTTCTAATTCATTTTTATTTCAAATGAATTGTAATATATACGTATGATAATATTATATAATTTTTTTACCTAAATAATAAAAATAATTTTTATTCATCCGAATTTTAATTATGTTGTTTTATTTGTATGTTTTGAAATTTCTGTGTGTTGTAAACTTTTGATATTAATAAAATCTATCTTTTATTGTGGTAAATTTCTATTCATATAGTACTATTTCAATGTTAAAAAAATTACAAATAAAATTATAATAAATCAATAAATAAAAAGAAAAACTATTTAACATCATAAATATATTTTTTATTACACATTATATAAAAATTTACCAATAATATTACATTAAAATACATAAACATGAAAAAATTATTTATGTTTTTTTTATTTGTGTATTTTATAATTTATGTGTGTCGTAAACTTTTGATTTTAATAAAATCTATTTTTATTGTGGTAAATTTTTATTAATATGTACTATTTTAATGATAAAAAAATTGCAAAATAAAATTATAATACATAGTAAATAAAAAGCACAAAATTATTTAACATCATAAATACATTTACTGATACACATTTTATAAAAAAATTTACCAACAATATTACATCAAAATACATAAACATAAAAAAATTACATTAAAATACATACAAAATATATGTAGCGATAGCTACAGTATTGCGCCAGTTCTGGTGCAATACTATTCACTCCTCGCTGGGTTGGAGCTGGTCTTAGAAATGGATTTCGGTTCGTTCCTTTGTTTCCAACTTTTCAACAATGGCTGAGTATTCAAACCGCTGATAGAATTTTGTTTTGTTAAGAGAAAATCAACACATAGCTGATATGAAACTATTAAATTTTAATAATTCAAACTGCTCCTTCTCAAATACTTTGTCGGCATTAATATTTCGTCGCCAGCCCGTAATGATGTCGTAATTTGGCACCTCGTTGATTAATTCT